TATTGGTGTATAGGAATGCTTGTGATTTTTGCACATTGATTTTGTATCCTAAGACTGCTGAAGTCACTTATCAGTTTCAGGAGATTTTGGTCTGAGATGATGGGGTATTCTAGATATACTATCATGTCATCTGCAAATAGAGACAATTTGGCTTCCTCCTTTCCTATTTGAATATCCTTTATTTCTTTTTCTTGCCTCATTGCTCTGGCTAGAACTTTTAGTACTATACTGAATAGGAGTGGTGAGAGAGGGCATCTTTGTCTAGCACCTGATTTCAAAGGGAATGCTTCCAGTTTTTGCCCATTAAGTATGATATTGGCTGTTGGTTTGTCGAAAATAGCTTTTTTATTTTGAGATACATTCCGTCAATACCTAGTTTATTGAGGGTTTTTAGCCTAAAGGGCTGTTGAATTTTGTCAAAGGCTGTCTCTGCATCAATTGAGAGAATCGTGTGGTTTTTGTCTTTGGTTCTATTTATGTAGTGAATTACGTTTATAGACTTGCGTATGTTGAACCAGACTTGCATCCCCAGGATTAATCCTACTTGTTCATGGTGGATAAGCTTTTTGATGTGCTGTTGCAAATGGCTTGCCAGTATTTTATTGAAGATTTTTGCGTCTGTGTTCATCATGGATATTGGCCTGGTTTTCTTTTCTTGTTGAGTCTCTGCTGGGTTTTTGTATCAGGATGATGTTGGTCTCATAAAATGATTTCGGAAAGATTCCCTCTTTTTGGATTATTTAGAATAGTTTCAGAAGGAATGGTAACAGATTCTCTTTGTGTGTCTGGTAGAATTTGGCTGTGAACCCATCTGGACCTGGGCTTTTTTAGTGTGGTAGGCTCTTAATTGCTGCCTCAACTTCAGATCTTGTTATTGGTCTATTCAGGGTTTCTACTTCTTCCTGGTTTAGGCTTGGGAGGAGGTAAGTGTTAGGAATTTATCCATTTCTTCCAGGTTTACTAGTTTATGTGCATAGAGTTGTTTGTAATAATCTCTGGTGATGGTTTGAATTTCTGTGGAATCTCTGGTGATTTCCCCTTTATTATTTTTTATTGCATCTATTTGGTTGTTCTCTCTTTTCTTTTTTATTAATCTGACTAGTGGTCTATTTTGTTGATCTTTTTGAAAAACCATCTCCTGGATTTATTGATTTTTTTAAGTTCTTTTTTTGTGTCTCTATTTCCTTCAGTTCTGCTCTGATCTTAGTTATTTCTTGTCTTCTGCTAGGTTTTGAGTTTTTTTGATTTTGCTCCTCTAGCTCTTTCAATTTTGACAACAAGGTGTCAATTTTGGATCTCTCCATTCTTCTCATGTGGGCACTTATTGCTATATATTTTCCTCTAGAGACTGCTTTAAATGTATCCCATAGGTATGTTGTGTCTTCATTCTCGTTGGTTTCGAATAACTTCTTTATTTCTGCCTTCTTTTCATTGTTTATCCAATCAACATTCAAGAGCCAGTTGTTCAGTTTCCATGAAGCTGTGCGGTTCTGAGTTAGTTTCTGAATTCTGAGTTCTAACTTGATTGCACTGTGGTCTGAGAGACGGTTTGTTATGATTTCCGTTCTTTTGCATTTTCTGAGGAGTGATTTACTTCCAATTATGTCGTCAATTTTCAAGTAGGTATGATGTGTTGCTGAGAAGAATGTATATTCTGTGGATTTGAGGTGGAGAGGTCTGTAAATGTTTATCAGGTTTGCTTGTTCCAGGTCTGAGTTCAAGTCCTGGATATCCTTGTTAATTTTCTGTCTGGTAGATCTGTCTAATATTGACAGTAGAGTTAAAAATCTCTTGCTATTATTGTGTGGGAGTCTAAGTCTCTTTGTAAGTCATTAAGAACTTGTCTTATGTATCTGGGTGCTCCTGCATTGGGTCCATACATATTTAGGATTGTTAGCTCTTCTTGTTGTATCGATCCTTTTCCTGTTATGTAATGTCCTTCTTTGTCTCTTTTGATCTTTGTTGCTTTAAAGTCTATTTTATCAGAGACGAGAATTGCAACTCCTGCTTTTTTTTGCTCTCCATTTGCTTGGTAAATCTTCCTCCATCCCTTTATTTTGAGCCTTTGTGTATCCTTGCATGCGAGCTGGGATTCCTGGATACAGCACACCGATGGGTTTTAGCTTTTTATCCAATTTGCCAGTCTGTGTCTTTTGATTGGTGCATTTAGCCCATTTACATTTAGGGTTAATATTGTTATTGTGAATTTGATACTGCCATTTTGATGCTAGCTGCCTGTTTTGCTCATTAGTTGTTGCAGATTATTCATTTTTTTGATGCTCTTTACCATTTGGTATGTTTTTGTAGTGGCTAGTACTGGTTTTTTCTTTCTATGTATAGTGCCTCTTTCAGGAGCTCTTGTAAAGCAGGCCTGGTGGTGACAAAATCTCTGAGTACTTGCTTATTCACAAAGGATTTTATTTTTCCTTCACTTATGAAGTTTAGTTTGACTGGATATGAAATTCTGGGTTGCAAGTTCTTTTCTTTAAGGATGTTGAATATCGGCCCCCACTCTCTTCTGGCTGCAGGGTTTCTGCCAAGAGATCTGCTGTTAGTCTGATGGGCTTCCCTTTGTGGGTGACCCGACCTTTCTCTCTGGCTGCCCACAGCATTTTCTCCTTCATTTCAACCCTGGTGAATCTGATAATTATGTGCCTTTGGGTTGCTCTTCTTGAGGAATATCTTTGTGGTGTTCTCTGTATTTCCTGGACTTGAATATTGGCCTGCCTTGCTAGGTTGGGGAAGTCTTCCTGGATAATATCCTGAAGAGTTTTTTCCAGCTTGGATTCATTCTCTTTGTCACATTCAGGTATACCTATCATACGTAGATTAGGTCTCTTCACATAGTCCCATATTTCTTGGAGACTTTGTTCATTCCTTTTTGTACTTTTTTCTCTAATCTTGCCTTCTCGTTTTATTTCATTGAATTGGTCTTTGACCTCTGATATTCTTTCTTCTGCTTGGTCAATTTGGCTGTTGAAACTTGTGCATGCTTCATGAAGTTCTGGTGTTGTGTTTTTCAGCTCCGTCAATTCACTTACATTTCTCTCTAAGTTGTCCATTCTTGTTATCATTTAGTCAAATCTTTTTTCAAGGTTCTTAATTTCTTTGCATTGAGTTAGAACATATTATTTTAACTCACGGAACTTTCCCAGTACCACATTCTGAAGTCTGATTCTGTCATTTCATCACACTCATTCTCCATCCAGCCTTGTTCCCTTGCTGGTGAGGAGTTGTGATCCTTTGTAGGAGGAGAGGTGTTCTGGTTTCAGGTGTTTTCCTCCTTTTTGTGCTGATTTCTTTCCATCTTTGTGGATTTATACACCTGTGGTCTTTGTAGTTGCTGATTTTCAGATTGGGTTTCTGAGTGGACGTCCAGATTGTTGGTGATGAAGTTATTTCTGTTTCTTAGTTTTCCTACTAACAGTCTGGACCCTCTGCTGTAGGACTGCTGAGGTCCACTCCAGGCCCTGCTTTCCTGGGGATCATCTGCAGCTGCTGCAGAACAGTAAGGGTTGCTACCAGTTTCTTCTGCTCCTATCTTTGTCCAGAATGATGCCTGCCAAATGTCAGTCTGATCAGTTCTTTGTGAGGTGACGCTTTGGATATACGGGGATCAGGGAGCTGCTTGAGGAGGCAGTCTGTCCTTTATAGGAGCTCAAGTGCTGAGCTGTGAGCTCCATTGTTCATTCAGAACTGCTAGGCAGGTATGTTTAAGTCTGCTGCAGCGGAACTCATAACCCCCTTTTTTTCCCCAGGTTCTCTGTCCCGAGGAGTTAGGGCTTTATTTATGAGTTTGCATTGTGCCACTGCCTTTTTTTTCAGGGCTACCCTCTCCAGCAAGGAGGCAGCCTAGTCACTGTCTTCCTGTAGAGACTTTGCTGAGCTGCTGTGGGCTCCACCCTGCTGCCCTGTGAACTTCCCTACAGTCCTGTTATATGGGTGTGGTTAGAATTGCCTCAGCAATGGTGACCTACCTCTGTAATGGTGGAGTCTCTCTGTTATGGCAGGTTGCCTCATAAACAGCAGGGTGCCTCAGCAATGGCAGACTACCTCCGTAGGGGTGGAGTGCCTCGGTAATGGCGGACACCCCTCCCCCACAGAGATGGACCATCCCGGGTTCACCTGTGCTTGCCATGAAACTCTCAACCCCAAGCATTTCCAATTGCTGTTTTTTGTTTGTTTGTTTTTGTGGGAGTGGGATCTTCTGAGCCTGATCTCCTGGCTCCCTGCCTCTGAGCCTTTTTTTTTTTTTTAAGTTAAATGGTTGACTCTCTCCCAAGTGTTCCAGCTGCCTGCTGATAAGGCACTGGGATCTGTGTGATTTCCCATGCAGCGACCCACTGCACTGGCTGAAACAACTGCACTGAGATTTGTGGTGCTTTTTTGTCTGGGAATCTCATGGCTTGATTCCCTGTTTCAGTCTTCTGTTTAATCAGATGAGTGGGTGAATCTGCCTTCCTGGAGCTCCAATTGCCAGCTTAAATGGGCAACGAGACCAGTGTATGGAGAACCACCCTGCCAGGGTGCTGACAAAACAGCTGCACCAGCCAAAACAGCCACAGTGGCAACCCATGGGGCTCCTCTATCTGGGAATCTCTTGGTCTGTGGGCAATAAAGATCCATCTGGAAATGCGGCATCCACCCACCCTCTGCGCTTTCACTGGGAGCTGCAATCCTGAGCTGTTCCTAAATGGCCATCTTGCTCCCGAATCCCATTCTTCATTTTTCATCAATAAGAAATATTTTTATCCCTTTGTATTCTTTATTTTTGTAAAGTTTCAACATAACTTTTTTTCCCCTAGAGTTTATTTAAAATGGGAACTACTTCAGTAGTCACTTCATATTACTTGTTGCCCAAGTGAGACTGATGTCATGTCATGGAGTGCCAAGGAGTCTGTAAAGACTTTAATATAACCTATTTTGTTATAGAATTTATTTTTATTATCCTAAAACAACAGAGATTCAACTGATTGTATAATGTTATCTTCTTGTTCTAGGTCTCCTAAAAACCCAGAACAAAAGATCATTAAGAGGGTGATTGCTCTTGAAGGCGATATTGTCAGGTAAGTATTTACTATTGTTTCTGAGTTCGCGTTTTATAAAATGTCTGGATTTTTGTTACCTACATCACTTGGGAAATACATGTCAATTCAAAGAGGGCCAAAGTTTTGGAGATATTCCAAATGAGCTGGTATGTTTTTAGTGCCCATCATTAACCTTTCATGTTGTAAGGAATACATACACTTTCTGATCATATTGTTATTCTTTAATGCTGAAGTATAGGATAAATAAATATTAATTTAAATTAACCATCTATTCTAAAGTGCCATTAAATCATTATTTATCAGATATTAAAATTAGAATGATTTCTTTAAGATTGTGATGTCAAGATTCATTAAAAATTTAGGATATTTAATACAGAAACTAAGAGTACTGTTTTATACTTATAGAGATGTAAAAAAACTGAAAAGGATGTGAAACAGAAACTACTAAATCAGTGACAAGGATGGAAGCTTGAGATGATAATATTGTAACAATCAGGTGTTTAAGCAAGCTTTAGTGATGTATTTATTGTACTCACTGATAAGTCAAGAACGACTGTTGACATTCAGCAAGTAAACATTGTGTGGCATGATACATCTCGTTGTGATTGCTTTTTTAAAATATGTTGTAGCCAGGCCTAGACAATGTGGTAACCAAAATGCTTTGAATACTACATTTCAGAAGTTTTCTGACCTTGTTTTCTAAAAAAGCTTGATCCTAAAGTGTTTGTATAAATGATAGTACATATTAATCAACCTCACTAAAATGAACCTCAGACAGTTTTAGAGCAGATTCTAGGCCAGCAGTTCTCACTGCATGGGCAGAGGATGCCAGGGGATTCCCAAGACCCTTTTAGGGTCTATGAGATTAAAACTACTTTCCTAATAATTCTAAGGTGTTGCTTGCCTTTTTTTCACTCTCATTCTCTTTTGAGTATACAGTGGAGTTTTCCCAGATTTGTGATATTGGAATTGATTGAATGTAGGAGCAGATATGAGAATCCAGCTGTTTTCTATTAGGCCCGACACTAAAAAGATTTGCAAAAATGTAAACAGATCAGTCTTTTTATGATTTATTATTTGCTTTTGGAAAAGAACTATATTTTTTATTTAAATTTTATTGTTTTTGTTAACCTTAGAGTTTATTATTGGTATTTTAAATTAGATCAATAAATGAAATTTTAAAATAATTTTCTATTTTAATTTCTAATATGATAATTACTGATAAATAGTAGCCACATAAATAAAAGTTTTTTGAGATTTTCAATTATTATTTAAAATGTGAAGAAGTCCTGATACCAAACAATTTGAGAACTTATTGATGTGCAAATTCATAGCAACAATTTTAATGTCAGGATTGACTGCTCATACTAGTAGCCTACATGATATAAAAAACATGGGGAGAAGTGCCAGATATAGGTGACGGGGGTATGGAGGCAGCAAACCACCTTGCTATGTATGTACCTATGCAACAATCCTGCATGATCTGCACATGTGCCCCAGAACCTAACGTACAATTAAAAAAAAAAAAGATACAGGGATGCCAACAACCTGAAAAATATTTTTGATTGAGGTATAATTTATTTACCTTGCAATTTACCCATTTAAAATATACAGTTCAATGAGTTTTAGTATAAATTAATACAATTTTCCAATCCTCATAGCAATCTAGTTTTTGAACACTTCTGTTACCCGTTACTTTCAAAAGTTCTCTCTTGTCCATTTGCACTGACTCCGGCTTTCACTCCCAGCCCCAGGCAGCCACAGGTCTGCTTTCAGGCTCTAGAGTGTAGCCTTCTCTAGAAATTTTATTTAAATGAATTATACAATATATAGTCTTGAGTGTCTGTGTTTCTTTTGCTGTTGCTAACAGAACGTTTTTTAGGTTTCTTCTGTATTGTGCATATTGTCTATAGTTTATTTTTATTCCTGAGTATTATCTATTTGATAGACTTACCATATTTTGTTTATCCAGTCACAACTTGATGCATATTAGGATTGTTGCCAGTGTGGGGATACTATGAGTAATTCTGTAGATATTGGTATAAATACTATAAACATTTGTGTCTTTTGGAGGAAATATAGTCTCATTTCTATTGGGTATACAATTGGCCCTCTGTATCCATGGGTTCTGCATCCCTGGTTTCAATCAACTGAAGGCGGAAAATATTCAGAGAAAGAGAGAAAAGAAAGGATACTGTATCTATACTGATAAAAAAATACAGACTTTTTTTTTATCATTATTCCCTAAACAATGCAATAAGACAAACATTTGCATAGCAGTTATATTGTATTAGAAATAAATAATCTAGAAATAATTTGAAGGATATGGGGGGATGTGCATAGTTATATGCAAATATTACATCATTTTGTGTAAGGAACTCGAGCATCTGTGGATTTTGATATCTGTGGGGGATTTTGGTATCTATATTTATGGGAATGAATCTCCCACAAAAACAGAGGGACAAATGTATCTGTGGGATGCTGAGTGTTACGGTGGATGCATGTTTATCTTTCTAAGAAACCATCAAACTATTTTAGAAAGTGGCTATATCATTTCGTATACTGCCAGCAATGCATTAGGAATCTAGTTTTTTTTTTACATCCTTGCCAGCACTTAATATTGTGTATATTTTTTATTATAGCCATCCTAGTGGGTGAGAAGTAGAATCTCATTGTGATTTTGAATTGCATTTCTCTGAATGCTAGTAATGAAAATAAACTAAAGTGCACACTTTCCATTCATATCTCTTTTTGGGTAAAATGTCTGTTCAAATCATTTGCGCAGTTTATATTGGGCTGTTTATATTTTGAGTTACAAGAGGTTCTTTGATAATTTTAATGGAGTGAACATTTGGGGGAGGATGTATAATGCTGTGATTTAGTCAGATGCAGGTCTATTAGTATAAAAGAACTTAGTTATCATTTCTTATAGAATGTATGTTCTAAACTAGAAGAACTTGGTGACTATTTTTTTCAATAGCCTCTCCAGCCTTCTGCTTTGTGGCAGAAACTGGGAAGAGAAAATTTAGAAAACCGTTGGATATGCTTCCACAAATATCCAAAATATACTTTCAGTATTTGGAAAACAGTGTGTAGATATGATGCAAATCCCATTCAAAGAATGTCAACAAACCTTGAAAACATTACCCTAAGCAAAGCAGGCCCATCACAGAAGACCACATACATATGATTCCATTTATATAGAAGGTCCAGAATACACATTCATAGAAACAGAAATAGATTAGTGATTCCCAGAGGCATAAAAGAGGGGAAATGAGAGTTACTGCTAATGAGTATAAGGGTTTTGTTGGTTTGGGGGGTTATGAAATTGTCCTAAAATTAGATTGCAGTGACGATTGCACAACTCTGTGAATATACCATACTAAAAACATTGAGTTGTACATTTTAAATGGATAAATTCTATCTTATATGAATTATACCTTAGTAAAGCTATTTTTAAAACCCAAAAGAATGTGACACCAAAGCAGACAAAAACATCATCTATATAAAGCAATCTACCAGGATTAGGAGTACCAAGGGATCCATTTTACATTATAATCCAAAGAAAACACAGCTTTTAACTCAGATGCATCATTATTGGTCACTAGCTGAACAGCCAACAATATGAAACTGCAAAGCTTGGTCAGACATAAAAAGCTTCATACAATCAGAAATCCTACAACAGACCTTTCTGAGGAAAAGTTCAGGTTGTTGCTTTCCTCAGTACATGTAAAAATTGGGTGTACAGCGGAACCAGAGCCAGAGCAAGGGTTAATGATGCCAGGTTGGGATTTGAGGGAAGAGGAGTTGGATGATGTAAAAGGTCTACACTGTTTCTCCACTGCTGCAGCCCTCATGCAATCTGTGAATTGACCCCAGGGGCATATGGCTCTATCTGTCCCCCTTTGGTACACCTCTAATATGGAGCAATCAAAAACATAAATAATGGACTTTCCAACTGTGCGGCCTCTAAAACAATTTGATAATTGATTCAAAAAATAATCATTTCTTAGTGTTTGATGTTTTTAAAGAAAATTGAAAACTTCTTTTCCTTTGAAACATTGGTACCTGAAGATCCTTGGCTTTCTGGATTTTATATTAATAACCGAACATATATATTCCTATAATGATTTTCCAACAGTATTGAAATGTTAAGAGGTGTTTAGATAATAGAGTGTTATTTACTGGTAAACATACATCTTTTCTCTGTGATTCATTTTTTAAAGTGCCAGAGCATATTAAAAACTATAAAAATATGCTGTCTACTACTAGAAGCCAGTAGTCTACTGGTTCCCTGACTTGGGACAGGCAAGGTGCTTTGGTCTGTGATGTGGATGCCTCAGTCCTATCTTTCCTCTGGATATTATTAGATTACCCAGTAGGCAAGCTAAATTCAAATATAGATCACCAAAAGTATTTTCTTGGAAAAAATTTGACATTTCATAAAATGATCAAGGAAAACAGTCTTATTTTTTAGGACTTACTTATACTTACTGTAGGTTTCAGTAGTATTTTTATTTTGAATTACATATAATTAAAGGTTAAAGAACGAACCAAAATTTTTTGGGAGGTTAGACCCATTGAAAGATTAATACAATATTCCGTTTAATATTCTGTTAGTTATACTCCATGAGGTGGCAAAAGTAGATATGTAGTGAAATATAGCTTAAAGAGCACTTAAGGGTATCTGGGGAAGTAAAGGCAGTAGGAGCTAGGGCTCAACCTAGCCTCACTACAGAATGGGAATGGCAGTGTTGCAGGACTTCTAGTTTTTGTCACTTGCACCCTCTGTCTACTGGCACATTACTTTTGCCTATCTGTGTTTTGGTTGGCTTTTGCCCCACCACTAACTGCTGACTTCTTGGATGTGCCTCATGTCTAAATTACCTGAGAGAAGTCTGAGCATCACCCTTTGACATACAGATCTAAGACCTGTCCACTCTACAGACAGCTGGTTAACCGACTGCCTTTAGGGTAGGCATCCTTCCCTGGTCCTGTCAGCTGTGGCTAGGTAGACC